AAGTCCTATGCTCAGGTGGGCAGGGTACCTGTCAAATTGACCGCATAAGCGTGCTCCTTCCATTGAATCGTCTAACGACCGAACACAAATTAGATTGGAAGCTTCCGGATTGCCGGGAGGAAAAATCAGGATCGGTTTTCTGCATCTCGTGTCTTCCTGGAAACGACTGATGAAATCGGGGCGACGTGACATTTTTCTGCTTCATTAAATACTTAAACCAACCAATTAGACAAATCGTGAATATTTTTCTCATCATTCCACGAAATTTGATATTTCAAGGTATAAAGAAAAATATTTTTTGTCTCCACTGTACACCCTATATGTTCAAATAATAATCTGAATGCAAAAGTAATGCTCGAGGCTTGTGATTAAAGTACTGTAAATGTTTTACGTAACAACAATATAATCTGGGAACAATTTGTGCTTGCTTTTCAAATCGATAGCGCCTTTCCGTCGAGTACCTATCCCTATAGGATAACAGCAGAATAGCGAAAAGGTGGCGAGAATGGGATTATACCGGTTACATTTGTGCTTCCTCGAGAGGAGAGGGTTGGAAATGTACACAAACCCCGTAAGAAGCCAGCATCGCGCCCTCGGGAGTGCTACCGCCGTTCGAGACTTCGCTGGGTACACCCCAGAAAGCCAAATGTAAATGACTACTGCCGCAGCTCAATTAATTAAATTAGCTTTTCTTCCGTCATCGCGCCCTGTTCCATCCCTCTCTTATCCGGAAGGCGAGTCAAAATCGAGTTTATTAGAGAGTTTTTGGATCCCAGAGAATCTAAGGAAAAACAAAAATGAGGCACTGAATGTATCCCTATTAATTACTTCGTGTTTGACTATGTTTAGTAAAGATTATTACATACTTCACGACGTCAAACTTTGTTCTAAATTCTAAAACACCAGAAGACATGTAATGAACTGTAAATGTGATTTTGATTGTTTTGGTCTGTCTCAGTTTGATTTCGCTTAGCCTGATTTGAAATGGTTTGACCTTGTTTGACTATGTTTAATGAAGATTGTTGCATGTTTCACGACGTCAAACTTTGTTTTAAAAAACCAGAAGACTGTAAATGTCATTTTGATTACCTTGATCTGTCTCAGTGTAATTTCGTTTAACCTGGTTTAAGATGGTTTGACTTTGTTTGATTCAGGAAGGTAGAAGGCACTTTTCAACTATTGGAAAATTTGCGTGGCTTTATGCTTGAAAATAATTGCAAAAAACTGCAACAGATTTGGATACGCTGATTCAAGCTGGGTGAAATTGTGTCAACTTAAACAAACTACAGTAATGTCTGGATGAATGCGACGTACTCGGGTCCATTTAGAAGCATTCATGGCAAAGCAGAAAGGTTTTCAGCCTCTCAGAAATTTGTTTCGTGCCCAAAGCCGAGCCACTGCTTAGCTTCAGTTTACTCTATTTTGATTGGTTCCAGAGGGGGACTCCTCCAGTGGTGGGAATAACGCCGTTTCTCGTGTTGCATTCATCGAGAAATAACTGTACGTCAAACTAAACGAAACTATGCCAATCAGAGATATTTTATCCTCTGTATTTGATTGAATTTGCTATAAAATATGCTTGCAGCTGTATTTCAAAGGAATATTTTCTCAAGTCTCGTCCTCTTTACTTCGTTCAAACCTCGTCAAACATGTCTAGTTCGCGACCGTCGTACGGCGTATACTTTTCGAGTAACTGTATTTTCCTTACGATCTCTTGCGCCATGAAAACGAACATAAAGTCCCGTGTATTACTTCCTGGTGGCTCGTGAAACTCGCCGGGTCTCGCGCGATCGGAGAAACGCGTACGGGATTTTCGGGTTTATATAACTCGACATTCTTACGGGCGCGTTTCGAGGATTATTGTTATGACGACAGATCACCTTTCCGTTTCAAAGGAATAGTTCTCGTTCCCCCTGGTGAATGAAACGACGATACTTTTTTGAGCCCCGCAAAAATTACTATTGTCAATTGATGTTTTATTAATGGCTGAGACCTTTTTTTATATACGGGGACCCCGAAACTTCGCGATATCGGAAATTCGCTACTTTTCAGCGAATCTGCTTTATGAATATTATTTCGGTGCTCTTAGGGTTTTACGATTCCCGGAGGAATTGAGCGCGTTTTACGATCCCATTGGATCGTCCGTGAGACCAGGTCCAGTCACTTTTTGACGGAATCAACGTCGAGTTATTCCTCGCTAGTTACAATATGTGATCTGGACTACGAAAAGGTGGCTAATGTCTTAAGGTATCGATTTTTATAAATTGAATTTTTATATTTCCTTTCTTAACCCATTATCTTATAATATCGAGTCAGACTCGTGGTGACAATATCAAAATGGATTCAACAAACAAAAATATTATTCGTTTTCGTTGAGTGAATCTGAAATACTAGTTTACTGATATTAATATTTAATATTAATATTAAATACACGAATTCCTTTTGTTCCTGGGGAATTATTGGTGGTAAACTTCTTCGGGAGACAGCAGACATTAAGAAAATCATAGGGCAAGGGGTTAAGTAAGTGTATTACAGTAGAAAGGAAAGAACCGAAAGGATATAGTTGACTCCCTGCCGATTTCATGAGCAGGAGTTGCATATTTAACTTCAACAGCTTCTTCCTCGAGAAGTAGTTTTCGCGTATTAACCATCATTTCGTGATCCAAGTCATGTTTCCTCGATACAGCTCCGTAATTTCGACCTCTAACGGTTCAGACAACCGGTAAAAAGATTTTCATATCGTTATAATAAAATTACAAGTTAATACAACTTCGACCCGCAGAATGTCGAATGGTGGCACAGAGGGGTGGGTCTGGGTCGGGTTTTTATGAAAACGAGACACGTCTAATAATCGAGCCGGTAAGCCGTAAAAGCTGGCGGCGGCCAACAAAGAGGGAAAAGAAGGAAATAAGGCAGGGGATGGGAGGAGTGAAGGGGGTCGATGTTGGCCAGACCTTGAGCGGGTGGAAAACAAGGGTAAAGGACCTTAAATCTCCTGGTCGCTTCCGTGGCCGGGCAGGATTAAGATTTTATTTTATCAGGACGTTTCTTAACGGCTGCGCGTTAACTTTAACGTAATCCTTTTACGACCCGGGTCCCGCTTTTACGACGAATCCGAGCACTTCGGAACCGCGCGTGTACGCGAGTTCATAACGGCCCGTTGAAACTTACGCGGGTGGGGCAACGCATGTGATCCGTTGCTTTGTGTCGTTTTAGATATAAACAGACACTTGTTACTACTGCCATGGGTACCGCCTTTCGAAAGTTTAGGGCCAATGTCTTGCATCAAAGTCGGTTGTGAATGTTTATCATTCGCACTTTATTGGCACGCTGGAACCTTTCTTCCCTGAATTACCTAGTATGTACTTAACTCCTATGGGCCACAAAATGGACTACCGTGGAGCCTTCCGTATCTGGACTAATAGGGAGACGTAAGTGTTCGTATCATAGAATGAACAATTTTTTTATGTTAAACATGATTTATTTAAATAGAGATCAATAGAGAGCGTTTGGTTCGGATAACGGAACGTTCGGATATTAGGGTATTCTTTACTGTACAGTAAATCATCGATGAGTGTTCGAAGGCTCCTCGCTACTAGTTGTGTAGATGTCATTCCCACAAGTCAATCGTCCCCTTCAAGTGCATAACTTATTGGCACACCCACCCCCCCCCTCCATTTTGGTTGCCAGAGTTCGATATTTTGGCAAAAAATAGATTTGTGAGGTATTGGAACGAAAGTTTTGAAGCGGTTCTGAGTTTCAATCTCTCATAGAGTCTTCACTGTATTTTCATATTTATGTGAGCTCAAACTTTAGGACAGCTGTGTATATCATTATCATGAATTCTAATTGATTTTCTAGAATCCTAGTAAAGCATAGAAATATAATGACGGTATCAGCTGGTTTGTTCGTCGTGAAACGATTAGACTTATAATGAACAGCGTCAAGTAAGAGGAGTAGATGCTCGAGACAGTATTGGCCGAGCAGTTCCGCCAATTTGAATAAGGGAGGCAAAATAATGGAGCCCTTCGGCCGGGACAGCGTATTACGTGTCAAGGTGTAATAAAAAACCCCGTAATAATGCCATAAGTCGGGCGGAAATTTTTTAAAAAGTTGGCTCGTTAAAGGGGAGAGCGACTCCGCGGAAATAGAATTGATGCCAGTTTTATTGGTATCGATGGTTTAGTTTCGTACGACGTCTTAATGAGTGTTTCACTTCCCCCTCGCCCGTTAAATCATCCGTAATAGCCCGAGCGTGCCTTATTTGCCTCACCAAACATGAAAATGCATGGGGCACGCTTCGGACGGTCATCATAACCTACAAATTCAACAAATCATTTTGTATTACTATATTTATCCATTCATTGTTTACTATTCCGGCACTATTCATTCACTATTCATTCACTATCCAGTCACCATTCATTCGCTATTCATTCATTATTTATTCACTATTCATTCATTATTTATTCACTATTCATTCACTACTCATTCACTATTAATTCACTATTCATTCACTATTCATTCACTATTCATTCACTAGTACTTCACTATTTATTCACTAATAATTCATTAATAATTCACTATTCATTCACTATTCATTCACTATTCATTCACTATTCATTCACTATTCATTCACTATTCATTCACTATTCATTCACTATTCATTCACTATTTATTCACTAATAATTCATTAATAATTCACTATACATTCACAACTCATTCACTATACAGTATATTAATTAATTATTATTTAAGTCATGAAATTTGTCGGTTAAAAAAATAAGCGTACAAAGTAAATTACAGCTTATATATCCAATGTAGAGCCTAGAGTGTTTCAGACCTAATTTCCGGTTACTCTGTTCACACAGACGTTCGGTCGATTTTCACCAACAGATCACTTTGTAAAGATGTTTTTCGGACCGTTTTCAGTTCATTTCGATGGTATCGAGTGAATGGCCCGCTGGAAACATGTAACGAGAGGTTTCGCCTTCTTTTTCCAGTACCAACGGTTACATGTGCCTGATGTTCCATCGAAGGGACGACCACATAATAGAGATGCAACTGTCGGAATGGAGCCAACAGACCGAGAACGTGTGCAACTCGAGCATGTTTAACTCCCGCTCGACGCCGTACACGACGTTCATTGGTAAGTCAATTACGATCATTTATTAACACTTCCACCGCGTGAAAGTCGTCCAATATTTACACACACGTACACACAGACACGGTCCTCGAGGTGCTTTAAACGTCGTCGGGATCATTCGTTTAGCGGTCGTGGCGCGTAAGCATGCAAACGTGGTTCCAATTTCGAGAGAGAAATAATTTAAGAGCCAGAAGACTCTCCAGTCCACATAAAATCCGAAGTTTCCCGAGCCAATGCAAACTTGGAACAGATAATGAAATTCCACGGTTCACTGTACAGAAGACCTTCCCCCCCCCCCCCAAAGCAAATGAATAACAGTTGTTATCCGATGGAAAATTAATCGTATTGAAAAAAAAGAACGCTTAAATCGAAACAAAAATCTGAAGTGACCCCTGTACCTGTGGAATACGTGTTTCGTAATCAATTGCACCGATTCGCTGGCAACGTTTCATTCAGCCAGTGATGACGATTTCCCTCGTTAAATATTCCATCGAGTTATTGGTATTTAAAAATCAACGCGAAAATCCGTTCACCGTGTCCAATAATGTAATGAAATTTCCAGTCGGTTCTTTCAACCTGAAACTGGTGGAAAATTTTTCACGTTATAAATGCTCGTGTTTATAGGAATTCGACGTTTCGCGAATTAGTTAAGAAAATCGTTTTCGAGGGCACGGAAGCTTAGTCAAACGGCGTCTGACTGGAAATAGAAACACGGTAGCGGGTGCATCAGCTTAACACAAGCGATACGGAAACACGACGGGCACAAAGACGAGAGTTGCAAATGTCGGGAGTTCAACAATCGATTCCGCGCGGAGCTCCTTTACGATCGCGTAAAGGATCATATGCCGAATCTGTCGTAAACTCTCGGCACTCGAGAACCCCGGGGGCGCGCGCGGCCCCCTTGCACAGTTTCTGTTTAAGCCGATTACTCGATTCCATAACAGTGACGAAGACAGAGAGCCGTTCTGTCGGCTTGGAATTTATCACGACGCAATTCGAATAGCGCTTCTGGCATTGTCGCTGGGTAGTCTTGGATGGATGTCGATGTTTGCCGGTGTTTGTCGATGTTTCGCGAAGTTTACAACCGCTTGAAAATTACTACGACTCGAAGAGAAATCTTTTTTGTTCGATTTAAGGACACTGACATTTACCAACCAAAGATCTCTACGGCTGAAGACATAAAAATTTCAGTATATCTGCATAATTTGTAGTAAATCAAACCGTATCAAACGTAGTCAAACTCTCACAAACACAGCCAAACTGTGACAACACGATCAAGTTACGATAAACGTAATCAAATGTTGTCAAAATAGTTCTCATCCTTCTTCTGTACATTATTGCCGGTAGTCGATGTTTGCAGGTGTTTGTCGATGTTTGGCGAAGTTTACAACCGCTTGAACGTTATTGCGATTCAAAGACAAATTTTTTTCATACACTTTATGGTTACTGACAGTTACTCACACCAATCAAAACCCCTCTATGTCCCCTGCTTTTATCGAAAACCAAGTCAGACACATTGCAGAAGAATAGCCCTTGCAACGGTTCTTCGTCAGGGATGTTACCGACTATCCCTGTTACGTTTCAGTGTTATGGGTAGCTATATACCTCGAGCAAATTGAAAGGAAGCACAAAACTAGATATCTATAAGTGTTCTTGTGCGAGGGGGAATGGAAATAAACGTTCCTCGTTTTAACTTTCCAGCGTCTGATCCGATGACCAGGCAGTGCCCGAACCTGGGTCGTTACAAGATCGTGTCGGTGTTCCATGCACACTCGAACGACAGCTCCGACGACATATTGGGCGGGGGCGGAAGGCAGAACGTCGCGAACGCCGCCGAGGTTCAGGACGCCAGAGTTACGCCGACACCTAATCCGACTCGATGCCGTTATGGAAGCGTCCGCCAATTGGATATCGGTTGCAAGACACCGGATCGCATGGAGTTCGCTTCATCTTGCAGCGACGAGGCACCGTACCTTTCAGGTAACGCATCAGCTATAATTTCTTCTCTGGCTAGGGGCTTAAGTTGCTTGGCGAATGTTTCGTGATCGATATTGGGTACTCCAATGAAGGCTGATTATGTTGTTTGCATTTAAACAGACAGGTATTGATTACACGGAGGAAAACGATGAGTATTATTACAACCTTGCAGCTTTCTATCCTCTTCCTGTAAGTCAATATACACAACGATTAATCTTTCTCTTCCTATGGCATATATCTTCCCATTGTCACCCACCCCTGGTAGATAGTTTAAAATTGATGGAGAGAAAGGCATAAAAATTCTTCACACTTAACGGGATGATAAAAGCATGGAAAAGTGTCTGGGAACGTTTATAGATCGAGAACGTGGGTTCTGACGTACGACGGACACAAACCGTCGTCGAGTCTTGTCTCATTGTCATTCTGCAAGGGTGTCTCGTCTCTCAATTTCATACAATTGCAAGATATGACACTGACAGGATGAACAGGGTTGTGTCGAGAAGTATCCAGCTACCTTCTTCAAACCCTGTCAAACTTTATCAAACACGCTCAAACTTCAACAAGAGAAATCTTGCGCTTAATATCTTGAGTCGATAATTCAAGCTGATACAACTATCATCTCGATTGTGGTGATCTCTGGCACCTACTTTTTAAAAACAAGCAGCAGCGAAGTATCTATGAGGTCTACCTATTTCAGAATATAAAGACCCATTTCACACATCACGACGACCAACTGCATTCTACACACTTCCAGTATCAGATCTTCCACCAGTTCGACCCTAAATCGTCATCCGTCTTACCCGTACCCCTACCCTGGACCCGACTCCACGTACAAGGGCACAGAATCAGACAGGGTGCCGAGTGAATCCTCCGTAGGGGTGGAGCACCTCCGGCAGGGAACATCTTATCGGATTACCCGCACCAGGTCGAGTTATCCTCCCATCGGTAGGGACGCGTCTCCTCGCTTCCCCATTCACCTTCACCCTCTCTCTTCCTGCCCGCCGCCGCTGCTGGCAGGAAAGTTATCGCAAGTGGCGATAGTTAGTTTGCGGGGAGTCAGGCAGCGTGACGGTTGCCGCGGCTCCCCCTGGTTCGCTTATGTGTAAACTTTGTAGCTTTATTCGGGCTGTACGTGTTTACGACCTGCGTGCGCCTGCACGCTGGGACCACAGTCTCAGCCGAATAACGGAAAGTCCCCATATGTCTGGCGACAATCACGTCGGGGTCACCAGTTTGGCGGTAATCTGCGGTTGCCGCCGTGAAAAGGAAAGGAGAGGGGAGCGTTTCGTCTTGGGTCTGCTAGTGGACTCATGAGTAAGGCTTACCTAACAGACCCTGCCTTAGACGCGGGGATATTCGATGGTCGGTTCAGGAAGTATATATACTAATGAGGAAGGCTCCGAGTAGTTGCGAGAAAGAGGTCGGCTTGCTAGCCCTCTGGTGGCGAATGTGGGAGAAGTGGTGGTCAGCGACATCGCGGTCGTGCTGCACGCCATCTATCGACGCGTCAGCGTCTTGAAGATCGGGTTAGGGGATAGAGCGGATGAGATCCAAGTTCTCGAGTTAGGTCAGGCTATTCTAGGTGGTGCACTGATGTTGGGTACCCAGTTCTCTGGTGTTATGAGGAAGAGGAATTAAAACTGCAAAGATCCTTATCAAATAATTACGTCAGCCGCCGAAAGAACAGTCTGGGGGGCAAACTAAATTCGGCACCGATGCTAATCCCGGGCGTAGACACACACCGGCCAGGATAGCTGGATGTGATTAACGATCACTGGAAGGCCTAGGGGGAAGCCCCCGGCTCGAGACATTTCGAGATGTTCTCGGTCTAGGTGCCGGCGAGCTAAGATCGCTGTTTGTACGAAGTCTTAATGACCAATTCGCGTTCTAGCCGGCGCGACGGAACAGTAGAAGGGGGGATGGTTGCACCGTGGAACGCAATCCCCTTGTCGACAGTCGTAAGACACGAGGTTCGAGCACCTAAATCCTCGGTTATGTCAACGCTCCTAGCTGGCTAAAATAATTCCTGGATTCGAAACGCCTACGTCCCCCCACCACAGCCTCGGAGAATCCACTCGTGTTTTTGTGGATTACGGAACACGGGCGCGATACCGGCCCCGTCGCTGCGTACTTTCGCTCGTTCCTCTTCTCATCCTCTTCGTCACCGTGATCTTTCCCTCTGCTCGGCGAGTTTATCTCCAGACGAAATTTCCTCCGTCCTCGGATAGATTGATTTTTTGCCTATCGCCGGGCGCCGCCGGGGTCTAAGTGATTTTGATTAATTCCGGTACGGTTTCCACGGACGAGGATTTTCCGTTGATTGTTTTTGGAGAGTGAAGTGTCCGAGTGTACTGTCGCGGGAGATTACACTTAACGACACTAACCCTGACGTTTCTATGGCCTATGGTGGTTATAACGTGAGTAGACTATAGCCTAAGGTCACTATGGCCTAACCCAGACCTATGGCTTAAAGTGCCTTTGACCCAAGGTGGATATAGCTTAATGTGCTTATGGTCACTCAAGGAGATCAGGTGTCTTTGATATCTTATTATGGATCATGATTGACCCGCCTGCGTTGACGGTCTGTACTCTGAGGGCTAAAAGCAGAAGATCATTTATTCTAAAGTGGGTCCTTATTTCATCCAGGTACCACTTTTCATTTAGGCGACATCAGCTATAGATCTCGAACGAAATATTGAATATAATATTGTAACATATTTCAAAGTTGTTCTGGAGATTATTCTGTACTCCGTCTGAGAGGAAAAAAAGGATCCACTTCCATTGTACGATTGCTTCCATTACTTCAGATTTATTGATCAAGAAGAAAGTCAACTGGTGTTTCGAATTTTTGCCCCCTCGAGAACATATTTCGCTGAGAGTATACCCCGCCCATACTTCGCGCCGTTGAATTTTTGTTGTTTATTTCCGTTTCCATCGGGCGCGCGCGCGGACGCTGTAAATTCTCATCTTTCTATCTTGCAGCCCTCGATAAGGTATCGTGTCGAGACAACACGCTAGATATCGACGCGTCGAAGCGATTTACGGCTTTCGTTTATTTCGTTCGCGCCTTGCTCGAACTCGAAACATAGGCCGGACCTTTTTTCCTCCACTTCTCTAAAAGCCCGTCCCTCTCGAGAGTGTCCCTGGTGTGAGAAAACCATTTTTCAAGGATTATTTCAAGTGAGTCCCGCCGATCGGAACGAGTAAGTTAATCGCCCAGAGATTAAATGAAACGATTTCTTACGAAATAGTTAAAATAATTTCGACTACTTTGATCGAAAAAACATTGTTCAGGTGACACAATGTGAACGTTCGAAGTAGAGTAAGTCTATTGTAAACGCAATCTGAAAATATTGTATTGTTAAATGTTAAAGTATCGCTCCCCTTTAATTGTATGTTACAATTATAAAATTGTTAACTTACGTCGAGAATAACTTAATTCTATTCTATAAAACGTTATGCAATTGCTTCTTTGCGGTACTCGCTCCAATTGCACCCTCTCCACGTTCTCGTCTCTCCTTTCTCCCCTCCCACCCCTTTTATTCCTTTCTGAGCCCCCGGCCCTGTAACTCGGTCGTAAAACGACTCTTAAGGTGAACGAAATCGAACACTTAAAATCGTTGCATGGATGATTACCCATTCACTGCTTTCGTTAGGACGATAAACGTTCCTTCCATTGCTTCCGGAATTTTTCCTCGAGACCGATAAACTACTCGGAAATTGTACTTTTGTGCTTCGATTCTCGATAATGGGGTCACGTTATCTCGTGACGGAATGTTCCCCTAGATTTTCCACGTGGGCTCGTTCCATTTTCGGAAAATATCTTTCAACGATTGCACAGCATTCGTCTCCCGTCACGAATCGATTATCAAACTCACAATGTCTTAAATGATTTTCAACTTTCCTTGACGTGTGAGAAAAAAGTTAACCGAAAAATTATGTTAAAAACTATACTAAATTAAAATATAAAATTTAAGTATTAACCTTGTGTTCCTGACTGATTTTAATGCAACTATTGTCGCTATTACTACCTTTGTATAATAATAATGTGTTGATCTAAATACGTTGGTATGCTAACGTAGGAGGACGGAGTAGTCACGATTGTCCGTCGTTGTGCGTAACTATGAATCTTCATCATTTTCAGAGTACTGGTGCCACGGGAGCTGGATCGAAAACGGCACAGCTTATTTGGTCGCGAGCACAGACGTCGGCCGTTACTGTCTCGTTTACAGTGCATCAACCGCGGCGACAGGAAGTCGTGAACTCTCGGTGACGGGTCATCTTGCTTCCTGTCCGAGGACCTCTCACCGTCATCTAATATCGTGGCAGGTCAACCTCACGTCGTACGGTGAGCATTGTTCACGACACGAAAACGGTCATCGGGATTTCTGACACAGGATTGAACATACGAAGCACCAATACTCGTGATCCCGATCCGTCTACTCGGTCCATTCAATTATCGACTAATTAATTCGCTTGCCCTACCATCGATACCATTCGTGAGTCCAGTAGAACGATCCGATGGCTTCAACTAAGAATTTTGTTCAGTTAATTGTAGATAAGATACTTTGTTCGACGACTAGGTACCTGGAAGTGTAGATACTTCGAAGTTGGGGAAGTGTCAGACGATAAGTAATGGAAGGCTGATGGCTGGATAACGGTACATCCTGATTGATTTGATTACCTAAAAGGAAAATTAGCTGATCGGGTGGTTAAAATGTAAGGTAGCTAATTAATTAGACCTGAGAAGCAGACGAGCACTTCGAGCACTGATGTAAATACATCGTAGGTAGCTAGTCGTACATAGCTAAATTCCTACCTAGATCTTCAGACCTCTACGACTAACAACGTCCAAGTTTGAATATAACTGAAGAATTTTTAGTCAACTGTGTACAGTGTACTTTGATTTACTGTATTTACTGCTTAGTGTACTTTGATTTACACATACATACGCGACTATATCCAGCACTGATGTAAATACACCAGAAACTCTCACAAACATAGTCAAAGTTTCACAAGCACAGTCATATTGTGACGAACATAGTCAAACTCTGGCAAACATAGTCATATTGTGACGAACATAGTCCAACTCTGGCAAACATAGTCCAACTCTGGCACACATAGTCAAACTCTGGCAAACATAGTCAAACTCTGGCAAACATACTCAACAACAACGCAAACAAACTCTGACAAACATGATCAAACTATGGCAGACAGAGTCAAATGTTGCCAAACTAGTAATCGCGATTCTGCTGTGTGTCTACACAGTGTCATATTGTGACGAATATAGTTAAACTCTGGCAAACATAGTCAAACTCTAGCACACATAGTCAAACTCTGGCAAACATAGTCAAACTCTGGCAAACATAGTCAAACTCTGGCAAACATACTCAACAACAACGCAAACAAACTCTGACAAACATGATCAAACTATGGCAAACACAGTCAAATGTTGCCAAACTAGTAATCGCGATACAGCTGTGTGTCTACAGCGTTAGGGACCAAAAGAAACCCTCATGATTTATATCAAACATGCTCAACCATGTCTTCAAACTTCCACAAACCTTGCGACTAACGAGTCCTCATTGTTCCAGCTCAATGCGGCGAGATTTCAACGGCCACGTCGTGGACGTACCGCATCTCAGCCTCGATGTACATCTTCGTTGTCCTCGGTGTCCTGTTCGGCAGGTACATCGTGAGGTGATGCTACTGAGTGGAGAGACCGGGCCACGCAGGGACGGCCGTGTAGTCAGCGAACAGCCACACACCACAAAACCAAAAACAGCGAAGCAAACAACAACAACAGCAAAATCTATACATGCCTGCATAACGTATCTATAGATTTCTCGTTCGACGTGGATGGAAACAGGAACAGTTTGACGCCAGGGGTCCCAGGGCTCGGGGGAGAAAGTAATCTAATAATCAAGCTTAGTGGATAAGTGACTGAAGACTTGTCAGTGTCGCGCGTGCAGTGGACTACATGAAGAGACAGTGTGCGTCCGCGTGCAGCCGTGAAAATCAGCAATGTTCCTTCGTCGGCGAACGTGGCAGATCCCCCGAACGGACAGTTGTACATAAAGTAGCAATACGTTCCGGGACACGCTTTCACCCCCTCCCCTCCCAAAAAATGCGACAGAACATTTCCGATTTTTCTCTCCATCTTAGACAGTGACCCTAATTTTGTCCCGTACATAGTGGCGGTCTCTTCTTCGGGATTATTTTCTCCCTCCCCCGTCTGGAATCTACATTCTCCTCCAATCATGTGAATCTATTTCGATATGACGTTCCTTGAATGCTTGGTCGGTTTGAGGAAGTTTGTGACGATTTGCGAGTGTTTGCGCAAACTTACTGTTGCGTACAGTGCTTTAATTTTTATTGGTTCCGCCATCATACGCAGACTGACTGTGTATTATTATTTTAAATTGAGGTGAATGTACAGAATGAGATATTGGCGGTTACCAGTTAGATTAAACGTCGGGAAGGTCTAAATAAATTCACCAGGATCTCGTGTCTGGTCGAATTTTTCTCTAGGACCTAGAATTTTCATATACAGTATTCCCTCTCTGTAAGCCTGCTTCGATAACCTTGCCATAATCTCGTCGACATTCCCGCATTTAGTCTCACGGGGTGACGAGGTAATGAAACGACAGCAATGTAGTGACCATCACTCTGTTGAAGCCTGACGGGCCGCCCAGGAGCGTGCTTATAGAGAGGGAACACTACTAACTGAACAGTATTCCCTCCGTAGAAGCCTGCTTTATCGACCTCGTTATAATCTCGCCGACATTCCCATATTCATTTTCACGGATAACGAGGTAATGAAATGTAGTGTCAATCGCTCTGTTGAACTCCGCCAACGAGCCCCCCAAGAGCGTGCTTATAAAGAGGGGAACACTGTTAACTCAACCGATTTATTCTGTACATTATCTGGGCATCTGATTCAGTTTGTAATTAATATCCACGGAAGATGCGAGTACTTACGTGTAAAGGAAGTGTGTTCGTACACGTGATAGCTGGCTTTAAAAATTGGCTTTACCGCCAGCATAGAGAAGCCTGGGGCTGATGGAACGAATTGAAAGAGAGAGAGAGAGATTGAGTGTTCTGCAAGACTGTGACGAATAGTGAAATACTGGCCGCCCTGCCTCCGAGTTCACCAATATTTACGTGTTTCTCCCGGTTGATCAACGTGTCCGACTTGGGCGCCGTAGACTTTTTCGCTTGATTGGACCGAGATCAAAGGGGGAAATGAGATTGGGCCGAGAAGTCGGGAAATATCGGTTGGGGAGGACGCAAAGGTGTTCCGAAGCGTGTTAAAAATAAACAGACACAGAGGGAGAGCGTGAAAAGGGGGCCATGAAAATTTTCTTCTGTGCAATCGCGTCAACCGGTTACGAAATACTTGCGGAAAAAGTCGCTACGACGGGCGGGAAAGGTTAAAAACAAATTTTCTCGACACCTCCATCATTGTTCCTTTGACATCGAGGACTTGTAAGGCAGTATTTCAATATTCGGTCGCAACGAAGGAGAAATTCAAGCGCACCACACAAAACGATATATAATAAGCCAAAAAGAAACTGACGAAAAAAAAACAAACAAAAAATGACAAAAATAAGGGTGCTGGGGCCAATATTGCGTATGCGTCGAGTGGTGAGACTGTAGCCCAAATGTGGGAGATAGAGGCGAGAAGAGGTGAGAGAGAACGAGAAGAGAGACAAACTTAGTGTACTTACTTAGATTCACACGGAGTGTCCGCCATATTTACCAGGGACCTGCGTGAGATATTTCCGGGTCACGTGTGAACGACGCGTTTGTAGGGGGAGGAGATACGAAGCAGACGTCGCCGCGTTCCCAGTGTGATTATGCACGTTTTCATTAACCGAAACAGAGGAACCGTGCGGAAAATGGAACGAAGAAAGCGTGGAGACAGTAAGGCGAAGTCACTGGGCTCTAGCTGAGCCACGAGTACTATAGCGAACGAACAATTCTAATTATAACTATTACTGTGTACGTGCAGGAACGAGTGTGTAAATGGACTTCTCCCTTCTTCCGTGTCTGCTGTTTTTTTTTTTCTTCTGTGTTTCCCCATTTACCTAACCCCATCCCCTTCGGCTTTCATTCGTGCTTACCCCCATGGAAGATCGTCGGGGGCGATATTAGCTACTAAGTGTCGCCTTTCGTGGCTGCTGCGAATACTGCGTGTGAAAGCTTTTCCCTGGTCTAATAGGGACGATACGATCCCCCGGGAATCATTGATGAGCGAGGTGGTCTCGGAAACGAACCTTAGGTCGATTTAACTAGATCTGATAGTGACCTGGACCTAATGTAGATCTAATCCAGACGTGATCCGTACCTGGTGCAGACATTAACCAGTACGGGCCGAATCTTGATCTTGATCTTGTCCAGTTGTAATCCAGTTCGAGCTGAGACCTGATCTTATCTAGTCCTGATCCAAGACTGATCGATACCTAATCCCTGTCTGAACCAGTCTTGACATACTGTTCATCCAGACTTTCTTCAGTCCTGGCCTAATCTTGATCCAGACCTTACCTAATCCTATCTCAGACTTACTTTGTGAAAATTGCTATGTTTCACATTAAAGAGTAGGTACTTCTATTTGGTAGTTTGATAAAGAGTAGTGAGGTTGCAGGTTTACTGACTTAGAAACACGTGTGTATCACCTGAGAAACGAAGCTAGACTTAAGGATTGATTCCGAGACGTTTTAGTGCGAAAGTATAGAGGAGGAAGTTTTCCCTACGTGTACACGTTACTGTCACCGCAATGCACTTGACCGACCATTAGAGTCTTCTTTTGTCTCAGGATCCTTATGAGACAGACGTTAATCTAGAGACTCCTTCACATGAATTAGAATCTTCAAATCATTCTTTCTCAGTTGACAAAGGTCTAAACAAATCTAAACTGTTGAAACATCATTGACGGTCTAACGATTGACCTCTAACCAAATTTGTTGCTCGATGTCCTAAGTAGTTTGAAGGCGCCATATTTAAACGAGTCATGTGATCGCAAAAATCTTTAATATTTCTTATAGGACACTATTAAATGTATCAGTTTCTTGTGTTACTTTGGAATTCTAGGCTCTCTAGAATCCTGCGTGAAGGGAAGACGCAAATCGTCTAGCAATGACAGAACAGGTGGTTGTTGAGGAACATATCGATATCAAGAGAAATCGAGCGAGGAAAGTGCTACTAGGGCGAGAGTTAGACTGGGGGGGGGGGGGGGCGGAGACAAGAGGGAAGAGATATCTCCGCGAGGAGATACGATCCTTTTTAGCGAAGGAAACCGCGCGAAGAAACTCAAAACCTCGACAAAGTACACATATTTTTCACTCGAAATATTTTAATTAAGGGCGCCGATTGTATGGACGAAGAAAGGGAGGACTAAATTGGTCGCGTACTAGACGGTTACCTATACATACATGGCTAGTCGGATATACATAATATAAATATGAACATAAACATGAGAAAATGAATCTATATAAATAAATCTATATGAATATACTTGAGTATATAAATACAAGATGACAATTCGATGTTGGCTATAAACTGTACACTATTAAGTAATGGGAAATCGAGGATAGAAACGGGAAGATGACTGTCCGCAAAGGTTGTCATTGATGGAGCTGCTCTGTACCTATGCCTAACTTTATTTAAGGTATTTTACTACCTTGAGTTCTAATCTTACTATCCACTCCACGGTGAACTTCATTTTTTCATTCGACACAGTAACTTATAATGAATACTTAAATGATATCAGCTCAAGTGGGGTCTAACTTTTACCTGAATCAATTTATCTTACATCTGATGTACACCTAATCCAAACCACTATACAGTAACTCATAAGTTTTCGAGGTAACACTGAGTGTTCTGACGTCATCCCCACCACTGAAAGGCTCCCTCGTGGAACCAGTCAAGTGTTCAGTAGTGGGGATGACGTCTGAACACTCAGTGCCGAGAAGCCTTTGAAGACTCATCGATGATTTACTGTAACCTTTTATTTGGTCCACATCAAACCTGATTATTAATTACCTTCTTCTTCTATAAAATCAAAACAGTTAATTAAAAATCATGTAATTGTCGTTGGATCTACTCCAGTTGAAAATACTTCATCATAAAATTACATTCAATTTCCTAAAATGGCGATACATTCGGCGGTCAAATGAAAGACGAAATCAAACCCGTGACTTCAGTGGTCACCACCGACAGCTTCTGACAACCAGAACGAAAGACCACGAATTCTAACACGCTTTTTTCCGGGAAATAGGAGGGACCGCAAGACGGTGGCTCCACCTATCTGTAAATAATTTCCGTATAGAAAGAACCGGTTAAGAGAATTGAAAAGAAAATTGAAAATACATATGGTCAAATCGACTAACGTGTGTCGCGGATCATCGAGTCGCTGGACAAAGTTTCCTGTAAAAAGAAAAATAGGAGGGGCGGGGAGGGGAACGACGTGAATTCGGTTTTATATAGATCGCGAGAGAGTGTAGATTTCAGGGTATTTATATCGAGGGTTGAATAGTTATACAGAACATACAAGATATTTAAATATGAATTATATTATAAATATAAATATGGAAAAATATATTATATACATATATATATTATATACTATGTTTTTATTGTTGTGACGTTAATCGAATAGCCGAAAGCGATCGCCGTTTTCAACGGGGGATAATGCTCTCGTTTCTTCATCGAAGAACGAACATTTGTGATTGTTTCGTGAATGCTATCGTAACTTCGATCGGCGTTGACAGTTCTCGATAAGCACTGTCGAACTAAACAC